ATGAGCCCTTGAGCTGAATGGTCATGTAGGAAGACTCTAGAGCAGTGATGGGAAATTTTAGAGCTTTCAGTGATACAAACAGCCTGCTGCAGCACACATGCTATAGGTTCGCCATCACTGCCCTAGAGCATTAATGTTGGACTGTGTGTGAACTAGAAGCTGGTAAGAATGAGCAGAAATTATAATAGACAACGCTATAGAGAGACGAGCCTGAGAAAACTAATTTATAACTCCTGTCCCTCTGATACCTAGCTGCTTTTTTTTTTCTGACCTGGCTTGCCAACTGGCCAGTAAGAGTTTTCTGTTCTTACAGCACCTCCTCTGCAACCATCACCCTGTTTCAGCCAGCTTGAGAACTCTTCCTTGCAACTAGTGACTCCAGAGTGAGGACATTTGAATGTCCGCTGAAGAATTTTCTGATTGATCTGGGGCTGTAACTCAGTGGTAGAGTGCTTGCTTCTATTTGTGAGGCCCTGGGTTCAGTCTTCAGCATGGCAAAAATAAGTAAGTAAATAAAACTTTAAAAATTCCTGATCATAGATGAAAAAGACTGCTTGGAAGAGCTCATTGTCACCAGAAGGCTTCAACTGGAAAATTGATACTAAATAAAGGAGTTGGAATAGATCAAGATATTTTCGATGGAAATAGCACTGAGGTGTATGGTATTAAAAAGCAAAAGATTTTGGCTGCCAGCAGTAGGCCTGCATTGAGATCTACTGTACTACTACTTATGTGACTTGAGTGACTTATCTAACTTCTTGAACCTCAGTTTTTTCATGTGGAGAGTGAGAGATGTTAATGTTTGGTAGAATTATTGGGGGAAAATAAATGCGTATGAAATATGTGATACCTAGTAGGCAGTCAGTATGAATTTTTTTATTCTTAAAACATCAATGTAGCCTGTTCAAATAATAGATAATGGTCTTGACCCAATCTGCAATATATTTTAGTAGATAGACTTATTCTCAAGTTTTTCTCCCATTTTGGCCCCTTTCTTACCACCTGCACCCTTGTAAATGCCAGGGGAAGAAATAAATAGGTGAATTAAATAGCATACAGATAGAGTAAAATTAGAATGAGCTTCTTAGGAATGGAATAGGTTTTGTTACATTTTGTGTACAGTATCTAGCACTGGAACTGGCATTTGGTAAATATAGGGTAAATTTTGAATCAATTAAATTCAGATATATGAACAACTGTTTGGGCTTTGTTTGTTTGATTGGTTTGGTTTGGTTTGGCTTTTTGTAGTTCACGCTGGCCTTGAACTCTCTGTGTAGTCCAGGCTGGCCTCAGACTCATGGCAATCCTTAGGCCTCAGCCTCCCAAGTGCAGGGATTACAGCATGCACTACCATGCCCGGAGTTTTTGCAGAGTTTCACTCTCTAACCCAGATACCTCAACTGATATAAAAATCTGTCAAGTCATACAGCTCAAGCAGTAGGATTGCTCAGACCCCAGCCTCCATCTTTCAGCATCATCTTTACGCTGGGCCCCAAACTACCAGCCTTCTGTATCAGCTGTCCAACAGATCACAGTAGTATTCTCAAGTGCAAGATCTGTGGGCCTCAAAACCCAAAGAGGAATAGTAAATGTTCTTTACTCTGAGGGAATGTCCTGGAATGCTTCAGATCCTCAAACCCTTGGGTTTCACTTCACTGATGTGGCAGGCCCCTGAATCTTTGTTTAGTTTCTCTCCCGTACTCTGAGTTTCATGTGTCCTAGCAAGAGATGTAGGGTACTTGCCATTTACTCCTTTGTTGGGTCTGATTAACTTTATAGTGTTGGGCTGGGGATTTAGCTTAGAGGCGAAAAGCGCCGGCCTGCCAAGCGCAAGGTCGTGAGTTCAGTTCCCGGTACCGGAGAAAAACCAAAAAAAAAAAAAAAAAAAAACTTTATAGTGTTGATATACTTGACCAGTGTGATGTTCTGCAAGTGGCCAAACAGTTCAGATCCCTTTGGACTGTATGACAGAACATGTGAACATTAACCTTATGGCGAGATCACAAATGCATGCTGTCGCATCCTGTGAGAGGCTCATGCAGATCAGTGTAGGAAAGAAGACCTTTGCCAACTCACTGGCTGTATATCATTTTCCTGAGCTATGTTACTCCCCCACCTGGCAGAACAGATATAGTTAGAGCCAGTACTTGATCAAGTTGGTTATTTGTCATTTGCCATATCAATCAGGTTTTCCAAAGGCCAGACTGGTAAAGTGTATAGGACTACGATAGGAACCACCATTTCTGCATCCGAAGTTTTGAGGAAAGAGCTAAATTTTGCTATTCTGTTAAATGTTACAGGTTTGCCCTTTATTGCGTTGGCCATTGTGTAAGTAGTTTCAGGGGCTTTTACTTGACCTTTCTTACTAGTACAGTAGCTTTCAGTCTACATGTCAAGCAACTAATGTCAGGGTTCTGCCAGTTTCTGTGTATGCCATTCCAGTTATTCAGAAACAGAGGGAAGGGGATGTACATTCATCTTCCTACCTGAGACTGTGAGTCACTTAAGGCCAGATGGGTCAGAGGAATTTTTGGATTCAAGTTTCTCAAATGGATCTACATACAGTATCCCCAGCTCAAATATCAGGACCCTCCTCTTCCCTAATAGGAACCAACTTTTTTGAGAAGTCTTGCCTATACTAAGAATTCAACCTTTTCTAAAACCTCCAACTTTTGAAATCTGCCTAATAATTAGCTGTCTGTTCACTGGCTGAACGAGGTGAACATCTCTTTCAATGCTACCAATGAGATATCATTTGCTTTAAATTATTACTAGCTTGAGCTCCATTGGTTTTTTTTTTCATCATGTGGGACACCTTAATAATGACCCAATTCCACAATCACTATAGTCGTTATTCCCCATGTACCTCACAAATGCCTAAGACATTGCACCAGGTAGACTGAGCATTCTCTTCTTTCTATCTGTATCCCACCCCAGCCCACTACAAGTGAAAATCTTTGTAATTATATCTAGCATGACAGGGATTGTCATACTTCACCCACCAGATTTCCTTCTAGTCCTTTGGGTGATCCAGCTCCAAATTCTATCCTTAGGGTCTACTTTCTAGAACTACTCTTGGTACTAATGTTTTAGGTTAGATTCCCTAGAAGCAGACACAGAAATAGAGGTTCTGGTTCAAGTGATTTATTGAGCAATTCACTTAAGAAAAGTAGGAGTGCTAGATGTGGTGGTACACCTCTATAGTCCTAGCAGTCAGGCTGAGGCAGGAGGATTGCCATGAGTTTGAGGCCAGCCTGGGCTACATAGTGAGTTCAAGGCCAGTTTGAGCTATATAGTGAGACCCTGTCTCCAGGAAAAAAAAAAAAAAAAAAGAGAGAGAGAGACTGTTGGAACCGACCTGACATGTGGAGAAAACTAAAGAGTATGGATTCCAAGACCAGTTTCAGTCTAACCCATAGTGAAACTCTAAGACAAGAATGGCACCCCAAAATTAGTCCCTTCAGACAAAGGACTTTGTCAAATAGCTATTGACTTCTCCCTCATCCCTCAGCCCCAAGAGAGATAGATCCTGTCTAGTTGAGGGCAAGTCTCTAGGGGACAGCCATGCGCTTTCATTAGCCAACACTGGCAGCAGCTGCAGGATGGGTGTATTGACTGGTAAGAAGGATCTAGATGGGCACCAACAGCATCCTTCATTTAAAAAAAAAGGAGACTGGGGATGTAGCTTAATGGTAGAGCACAAGGCCTTAAATTTAATCACAGTACCTCAAAAAAAAAATCTTAAGCTATGGAAACCTAAAACATGGTAATTATATTATCTTCAAGTAATAATGCACGTTTACAGTCCCTTATTCAGAAACCCAAAGTTCTAATTCATTTTAAAATGGTTTGAAGTATTTTTAATACATTTCGTGCGAACCCTACAAAAACAAAGTATTGAATTATAGGATACTGCCTCAGATTCAGCTAGGGGTATTATTTATATGACATACAATCTATATTGTATTTCAAAAACTAAAAACAAAATTGTGATTCCAGAACAAATGTGGCTCCAAGCATTTTGTGTAAGGAATCGTGGATCTCTTGCCATCATTTATTAAGGAGCAAATATTACATATTGTGTACACATATTTATCAAAGTTATCCTTAACACCCCTGCAACCAGGATTTTTCTCCTCTTTTCCATGTGAAAGATCAGAGGCACAGAAAAATTAATTTATCAAGGTCACAAGTTAGTGAACGGAAAACTCAGATCTGTGAAACTTCATTACCTCCTCTTTCCCATTATGCCACACTGTGTCTGCAAGGCAAATGATTGTTAATTTATATACTGATATTAGCGGTCAAAAGTCTGTGATGTTTTGCAAAAAGTGACTGACTGACTGTGACTTCTAGGAGCTGTAGTACCTGACATGTTTGAAAAACCCCTGGACTTGATGATTTAATAGTCTTCCCCATCGTCTGAGATTCTGTATGATTTTATAAATTCTAAGCACACTGCCACTGGAGGATCATTTCCGTTGTTATTTAGCATTTACAAAGGGCCCACGCTTCAGCTTTGCACAAAAATGACGGCTTTCTGTTTTCCTTACTAGCTCTTGTTCCTCTCAGGGAGCAGTTTGCATGGGATTGAGAAAGTGATGCTTGTAACAACATTAGGGCCGAGTGAAAAAGAGTATGGGCTTGGGAATGAAAAGGCTAAACACAACTCTGAATTTTGCCACTGCATTCTTTCAATAAAGTATAATGAGACTCTGTCGCTGTGGGATATGAGATGAGGTGGGGGTTGGTCTTTAGATGCCAGACTCCTATTTCTCCAGATTGAACACCATCTATTAGATTTTTATATCTTAAATTTAACAAAATATATGCAAGAAATAAAAGACTGTGACAATATGACTTTTTCCTAAAATGAGCAGAAGCAAAACAATTTTTTTTCTTTTAGACAAGGTCTCACTATGTCATCCAGGCTGGCCTTGAAACTCATTATGTAGCCCAGGCTGGCCTCGAACTCACAGCGATCCTCTTGCCTCAGCCTCCCGAATGCTGGGATTATAGGCGTGTGCCACCACGTCTGGCTGAAAATTTATATCTGTATACGCTTTGTAGAATGAATGACTACCAAGGCCAGGTTGTCTTGACTAAATTTAGGAACCCAGAATCCAGGTGATGGATAAACTTTTCAATGTTGATTTTACCTGATTACACCTTACATTGGATTGAGGTATCCTACCTCCCTAACCCCAGCTCCTGGAGCAAAGGACTCAACAAACACGACATAGAAATGTCTCTGTATTGCATGGTTTCATCAATAAAACTACTTTCTGTCAGTGCACTGGTTGCCTGCCCCAGAGGATTCCTACCTTGCCCTGCAGTATTTTGCCTTTTATCTCCTTTTCTTCATGCCCTCTGGGGCTTCAGGGATGATTTGGGGTGTTGGCAATAAAGCGCAACAGTGAAACTCATTTGGCAGCTGGTTGTGACAGTCATTTCCTTAAACCTTATTGCCTGAGCCTAATAAAACAGTGAAAACCCAAGGCATAACATGCCAAGTTTTCCACAGCTTGGATTGTGCTCTCTACCCAGAGCAGTATAAAGTCACAAAAACTAATTTACTGAACTACACATTTTTTATGTTCCTGATGGTCTTGCTCAATTAGACGCTTTAATTTTAGCTTATTTCAATTCTCAAGTTTGCATATACTGATCGTAAGGCACTTTAAAAGTGCTATTTTAGAGGAAAACAGACAAAGAAGGAAGTGGCACTGATAACTCATCGTAGACATCCTCTCACCCACCCTGACCAGGGCTTCTCTTCCTAGTTCTAGGCAGAGCACATTACAAATCCACAAATTCTCCCCCTCTGGATGGCTGTGTCAGTTCAGGTCCTCCAGGAAGCAGATACCAAGACAGTGATAAAAATGCAGTAAATTTGTTGGGAATAACATCTGTGGAAGAGAAAGGGCAGGAGTAGTCAGTGACTGAGCCTCAGACCTTTTATTGTGTTCCTCTCCAAAGTAAAAGATCCCGTCTCAACATCCTGAATTACAACATTTTAAAAAGCATGTATTCATTATGTTTAAGTGCTCCTTTTCACAGGGAGGGTGTGCTAGTCCGGGTACTAAAAGAATCCAAGATGGGATTAGTCGTGAAAAAACTTCAGACGAGATCGGGCGTGTTCAGGGTGGTGTGGCCGTAGACAAGATCTTCATTATGCATGCTATGTAAGAGAAATTAGGCAGAGAGCAGGAAAGGCTGAGACAGCTGTCAGACTGCTATGCAAGTCCAATCCTGAGTGTAAGAGAGAGAGAGAAAGGTTGAGTGGAAACATCCTACTCTGCGGTTTGAGGAGGGTTTGCCCAAACCATTGGGCAGTCCTCAGCCAAAGTCAACAATCACAGGAGTCCTGTACCTCCCAGAAATGGGTCTTCCTTAGAATTTCTCCCAAACACAGTGGGAGGGATGGCTTTATTACAAATGCGATGATGGATTTCAGAGCCTCTGGGACCTTACTCAGTTACACTCCTTGTAGTTGTAAGTTGCAAGTCACATTCTCATGACCACCACAGGGAGATAATAACAGTTTGTGAAAATATTTTGTAATACATATGTACATGGACAGGCACCTGCTTCTTTTTTTTTTCTTTTTTTTTTTTTTTTTTGGTCTTTTTTGAGACAGGGTCTCACTATGCAGTTCAGGCTGGTCTTGAACTCACTTTGTAGCCTAAGCTAGCCCCAAACTTGCAATGATCTTCCTGCCTCAGCCTCCCGAGTGCTGGGATTACAGGCATGCGCCACCACACCTGGTTCTGCTTTACATTTTTATCAACATTTATGGCAAGATCAGATAGCTTTGATCTGTAATTCTATTTCATTCCAAAAGCAACCTTGAGATAGGTACTATTCTGATTTTTGTTTTTTATAATAAGGAAAATACAGATCAGAAAGGTTAAGTAACTCATACCAAATCCCAAAGCTCAGAGGTGTCATGGCTAGAATTTAAACACATATAGGTTTGTCTAACTCTGTGACAAGCCCTGCATTTGGGGCAGAGTTAGTGAACAAGGTAAACAGTCTCTTCTTTTATGTACTATACCCAGTAGAAGCTCATCTCCATCCCAAAGTGATCTAGTCAGTTTCAAAGATTAGTGAGGGGCCAGCTTCAGGGACTTAGGACCCCACAAAGTAAGAATGAGCTGAGCATAGCTTTCTGTACAGCAACAAAAGCTGACTACCTGGTAAAACCCAAATACCTACGGAAAATGATGGGAGCTCAAAAATATATGAGCTGAAGATTTGAGGGCGAGTGTTAAGCAGAGGAATCCTGAGGACATTTGAGCTGAATTCTAAAGTCACAGAACTGGCCAGGGGGAGTGTTTAAGGGAAAACTCTTCCAGGTAAAGGGAACAGTCTGTATGTACTAAGACTCTGAAGAGGAAGCAGGAAGAAACAAGTAGGATAGCAGGAATGCAGTGTGCGAGGCTGAGAGGAGAGAGAAATGTACCAGAGGAAAAGACCAGGTCCCAGTGGCCTTGTAGGCCATATTGAGAACTTAGATTTTATTTTGAGAGAAATGGGGAGCCTCTGAAGAATTTAAAGTAAGAGGAACCATAAAAATATAAATGTTTGAGGAGACAAATAGGTTTACCTGCTTTCAACATTATGCATTGTATATATGTATCAAACATTACATGGTACCTCATTAATAAGTACAATTTTTATGTTTTTATGTATCAGTGCAGTGGCACATACCTTGTAATCCTGGCTACCTGGGCGGCTGAGACAGGAGAATCTTAGTTTCAAGGACAGCTTGGAAAATTCAGTAAGCCCTGTCTCAAAACAAAAAGAAGTAGGGATATAGCTCAGTGGCAGAGCACCCCTGAATTTGATCCCCAGGACTGCAAACTAATAATAATAATAATAATAATAATAATAATAAATTTAAGGAATAGGAATATAATTCAGTGGTAGAGCACCTAGAATTTGAGAGGCCCTGGGTACAGTCCCCAGCACTGCATAATAATAGTAACAATAATAATACTAATAATATAGAGTAGCACTTTAAAAGGAACCCTTTTGTATATAAAGACATCAAAAGTGGACATGAACCTAGTGTTGTGGCTCAAACTTGTAATCATAACATTCTGGGAGGCTGACACAAGATGACTGCAAGTTCAAGCCCAGCCTGGACAGCTCAGAGCCCTCGTGGGACTCTGTCTCAAAATAAAAAATAACAAAAGAGCTGGTGATGTAGCTCAGTGTGAAGGCCTTGGGTTCAATCCCTCATATCTGAAAAAAGTGTATGTATATGCACAGGGCCCTGGATTCAATTTCCAGCAACAAAAAATAAAATAAGAATTGAGTGTGAAGTTATCAAAATGTTAATTTACAGAGGATGGTGGAGACTTGTGCTAAGATAGATATACTGAAGATAAAGTAACTGGATTTCAGTGGTATTTGGGAGACAGAATTAACAAGCCTAGGGCTGGAGATTTAGCTCAGTGGCACAGCGCCTGCCTGGCAAGTGCAAGGTCGTGAGTTCAGTTCCCAGTACCAGAAAATAAATAAATAAATAAATAAATAAATAAATAAATAAATAAATAAAGCCTTGACTTGATGGGAGAGCTAAAGAAATCAAAGGCACCAACTCCTAGATTTTTGATAAGCAAGTGGATGGATAAGTCCATGTATAAATAGAAGGCAGAATTCTGGAGGAGAAGCAAATTTGTAGGGAAAGATCTTGAGTTTAATTTTGAACATGTTATGTTTGCGATACCTCTGATATATTAAAGTAGAAAATCTGAGAAGACAGTTGCCTACACAAATCTGACATTCACAATGTATATAGACAGACAATATAAATTGACAGTCAAAAGATGATAATTAAAGGCACAGATTAACAGTAAGGAGTAAGAGGAGAGAAGGGCTGAAGACTGAGCCATAAGTAAATTCCAGTATTTGAGGCAAAGAAGGAATTGTCAAAAAGTGAGATAAAGTGATCTGGTTAAAATGATGCACTTTGGAGTCAGACTACTTATGGTCAAATTCCATATCTGTGCTTCTCAGGTGTATGACTTTTGGAAAATTACTTATTCCTCTTTACCTCAGTTGCCTCATCTGAAAAATAGGGATGACAGTGATAGTATGCACTTGAGATGGCTCGGGGTGTGTGTGTGTGTGTGTGTGTGTGTCTACTGTTATGGCTTATATCTAGATGTTCCCCCAAAGCCTCATACATTCATAGGTGAGGCTTTTGGGGGTGAGTGGATCATGGGTGTGTTTTATATCTTATACCTAGATATTTCCCAGAAGTCTCATGCAGTCATAGGTAGGGCTTTTCAGAGGTGGTTGGATCTAGAGTGTGTGATTACTCAGTTAGGCCGCTGATTTGTTTGGCATAGTTCTGGGTGTGGCTATGGATAACACCACCCAAAGGGGAGGTATCCTGGAAGGGATAAAAGGAAGAGGCAGGCTGCTGCTGCTTTGCCACTTTGATACTTGCTGCCTTCTGCCTTCTGCCTGCCACTGTTTCTCTTCTGTGATGTCCCTCTGCCATACAAACCTGTCTTGGAGCCAGTCAACTATGTTATTTATTTATTTATTTATTTATTTATTTATTTATTTATTTATTTATTTATTTTTGAGGCAGGGTCTAACTATGTAGGGCAGGCTGGCCTTGAATTTGCTTATGTAGCCACGGTGGGCCTAAAACTCACAGTGATCCTCCTGTTTCAGCCTCCAAGTGCTGGGATTACAGGCATGTGCCAGCACCCCTGGTAGAGCTAGCCAACTATGAACTGAAACCTCTACAAACTGAGCTAGAATAAACCTTTCCTCCTTTAACTGTGGGTGTTCGGTATTTTGTCTCAGCAATGAGAAAAGTAACTAAAGCAGTGTGTGATACTAGATTAACCAATGGATTGGTTTAGCATAGTTCTGGGTGTGGATGGTGGACTTACTGAAGAAGAGAGACCCACCCTCAGTGTGAGTGGCACCAACCAATAGGTTTATAGCCTGGGTAGAATAAAAAAGGAAAGAAGAAGGAGATTGCACTTCTTTCTGCCTGCCATGCCTCTCTACCATGCTAGCCTGCCTTGGAGCCAGCTGACTATGGACTGAAGCTTCTACAAATTGTGAGATAAAATAAACCTTTCCTTGTTTAATTTGTGGTGTTGTGTACAGTAAAACCTTGGTTCATAAACTTAATTCATCCCATAATTCTGGAAAAGATGGCCACATTCATGTTCATTCAGGAAAGATGGCTGTGGTTGTATTCATCCCTGATGCAAAGTTCACAAACAAAAACAAACTTTGGTCAAATACTTCTGTTTGTGAACCAAATTGTTCACAAACAAAAGCATTTGTGGACTGAGGTACCACTGTATTTTATCCCAGCAATGAGAAAGTAAGACAGATTTTGGTGCAAGTGATATTATTGTTGTGATGCTGCCTGACCATGTGGTTCAGAAACTATTGAAGTGGCTTGCAGGAGAAAGGTTTGGAAATGCTGGCTGCCCAAGCAGTCCCAGAATGTTGTAAGCTGAATTTGATGGGAGATTCTGGTCCAAACTCTGTCATAGTTACTTTCTCATTGCTGGGACAAAATGCCTGACATCCAGAAGTTAAAGAAGGAAAGGTTTATTTTAGCATATGTTTTGTGGAGGTTTCAGTCTATAGTTGGCTGATTCCAATGACATGACAGAGAGGAATGGTAGAGGAGAAACAATTTATGGCATGCAGGCAAGAAGGAATGGAAGTTCTTCCTTCTTTCCCATTTTATTCCATTCAGGCTACAAGCCTATTGGTTGGTGCCACCCACACCCAGGGTGGGTCTTCCCTCTTCAGTAAATCTACCATCGACACCCAGAACTGTGCTAAACCAATCAGTGGACTAATACAGTATTACACACTCATAATCCAGTATCACACAGCCATGACCCAGTCCTTCCTCAGAGCTCCACCTGTGAGTACATGAGGCTTTGGGGGAACATCTACGCCATAACAGAAGTTACCAAAAAATTAAAAACCCTGTCAAGTGCCTACTATTACAGTACTATCATCCTTATTTTACAGGTGAGGAAACTGAAGTATAGAGAGATTACATAACTTTTCTGCTCAGAAGACCAAAATGCTGACAGTCATGCATCCAGTAAAAACAAGGCTCAAGAGGATTCTGCTGGGAAGAGCAACTCCCTCGGCAATGGGATTCTTAGCCACATGTCTTATGCTTTGGCAGAAAATTTGTCTGCATTTTGCTCATGTCCAGAGATATTTCAGGAGACTGACATTAAGGGCATCAAATTAATTAATCTGGCAGAAGAAATTTCAAGGCAGTCTAACACTGAGGTGGTTACTGTTGGGGGCTACTGTTGGAGTGGCTACTGTTGGGGGCATTTAGCCAACTGTACCTTGAGAATCAAAAGCAAATGGCCCAGCAGAATGACTTTTTTTTTTTTTTTTTTGGTACCAGGAATCCAACTCAGGACCTTGCACTTGCCAGGCAGGCACTTGTGCCGCTGAGCTATATCCCCAGCCCCAGAATGATTTTTTAAGTTTTGGGTTTTAGGGCTGCAAAAATGTAGCAGAAGAGAATGTTTTTGTTTTTTTTTTTTTATTTTAAGGATAAAAGGAGGGAAACATTAACAGACATACAACATTTTACAACATATCACAAGCACAATACAGACAATACAGAGTTACAA